ACAATTGCTAAGGACGGATCACAAATTGCTATGTAGCATAACATTAAGCGAGACATGAGGCCTAGTAGGATAAAATATAGTTGTCACACTGTTCAGACATTAGAATAAAGAATATTTATTGTTCTGGAAAGTACAAAAGCTGTGAAACATCTGAAAGAAAAAAAATGTTCATTTGATCTGCGTACGGAGAAATGCAACAATGCATCTAAAAGTCAGCAGGCACCTTAAAGAAAGGTATCAGTACGGGATATGTCCACCTTGGAGTGTGATGCAACATTCCACACGTCGTACCATACTTTGCACAACATTATCCAGCAGCTGTTGAGGCAATTTATCCCATTCCTGTGAGTGCACGGATGAGGGTGTTCTTGTTTGTCGGAGGATAGTTTCGACCATCAACTTGCCTCCCCAAAGCATCCCACACATTTTCAATGGGGTTTAGATCTGGAGAACGCGCTGGCCATACGAGACGTTGAATACCCTCGCTCTCTAGACAATCCTGAACAGCGAGTGTTCGATGAAATGTTGCGTTGTCGTCCATAAAAACGAATTTATCACCGACAGCACCACGGAAAAGACGAACATGAGGAAGTAGAACTTCATCAATGTATCGTTGGCCCGTCATAGTCCCATTCGCAACCTTATGTAGGCGCATGCGGCCATTGATCATGATGCCGGCCCGCACCATGATACTGCATGTCGGATATCGGTCCTTTTCCTGGATATTTTCTGGACGATAAGCAGTACCACTCTCGCGCCAGATCAGCTGGCGTCTACAATCCGATGACAGACTGAACCTACTCTCATCTGAGAATAGTACGCATGCCCAGTCCTGTTCAGTCCAATTGTGATGCTCACGACACCATTGCAAACGGGCAGTACGGTGCTTTCTGGTCAATGGGACACACACAACAGGTCTGCGTGTGTATAGTCCTCCTCCCCTGAAACGTCTGGCAACAGTTTTTCGGGAGATCTGCTTTCCTGAGGCAGCAAGAAACTGATTTGCCACTTGCTGAGCTGTGGTGCGCCTGTTCCTTTTTGCTGATAGGACGATATATCTGTCTTCTGCAGGCGTCGTACTTCTAACACGACCTCCCCCGTGTCGTCTACTACACATTCCAGTAGTTTTAAATGACTTCCACAGCCGTGAAACAACGCTGTGAGCGATGTCAAACTCCCTGGCAACATCTGTTATTTTTCGCCCTTCTTCGATCTTTCCAATAATTCGGCCACGCATAAAATCATCTATGTGATGTCGGGAAGACATGCCAAAAATTTTAAGTTCGTCTATTAAATCTTTCCTGTAAAACTTTGACTTGAAACAACAACTGTCCACACGCGTCAAAACCTTTAAAGCTCTTATGAACGCTATCACGTGATGAACAGACGTGGGAAAAAAATTTGCATACTCATACTTCTTCTTACTAATATCCCGCACTTATTCTAATTTTTCCACATTTTGCTTTCTTTCATTTTGTGGTTGCTATGGATGATTGTGTTATCCGTCCTTAGCAATTGTCCAGCAGTGTATAATAATATTAATTTTTCAAAAATATTGAATATAAGTATGTTTATTGCTTACCTGTTAAAAATGTTTGCATTAAGAAAGCTTTTAAATATAGTAAAAAAATTATAACTTAATTTTTAATTACAATAATATTAATGATTTGCAAATTAATAAAAATATTATTTGTAATTGTAAAGATTATTCTGATTTTATAAGCGATCGTCTCAAACATGTTCTAACAGGTAATTTAAATATTGTTAAAGATAATACTATCACATAAATAATGTTCGAAGGTACTAGTTACAAATCAATGATCTCTAATAATAATAATTCTATTAAAAAATAAATTTCTGACATTAGTAACTTCTTTACAAAAGTAGCGATTAAATACAGTTTTCCTATTGTAGCTTTCAATGAATTTAAATTCAAAATTTTAAATGAATTACTGAACATTAACTATTAAACGGATGATATAATTTACAAAAATATTAATGTAAATTGCAGAACTACAAAAGAACTTCATCATCGTTTATGTTGATAAAGTTCCGGGTAATTATGAATTATTTGCAAGTGGCTTTATGCTAATTTGCTAAACAAACGTTTTCAAAATGATGCTGCGTTTAAAAAATCTAATTCAAGCAATAGAGAAATTTTTAATAGAATCTTTGCTTTTTACAAAAAAAAATAGATTTACGTATTTCGGATATTAAATTCCCTCATAATTTTCTAACTCCCAAATTTTATAAAAATCCAATTAAATTTAGAACTATAATGAATGGGTTTAAAACTTATATTATACATCCATGCAAGAAGCTACAAAATATTATTCAATCCAGATTAGACAAAATTGATAAATCTATTATTGTTAAGAATAGTATGGACATTATTAAGTATATGCAAGGTAAAAAAATTATTTCTATTAATACCTATGGTTTTGAAGATTTCTTTAACTCCATAGATGTAGGAGACTTGTTTATGATTCTTAAAATAGCCTATAGCATATTTTCTTCGAATAAGTTAACAAAATATGATAAATATATTTCTATTATTCAACTGGTTTTAAGTGAAACTTATATTTTTGATAATAACTCTTATTATCAGCAAATTAAGGAACTACCCCAAGGTGGCCCTGCTAGTAATTGCGTAGCCAATATTTATTTGCACTTTTATGAAAATAATAATATTAGTTACGAATCGGGTTACATTTTTAGATGCAAAGATGCCTTAATTATTTTAGTAATATAGTAGATTTTGTTCCTATTTTTAATTATTATACCCTATATTTGAAATTATTAAAAACTAATTGCAATAATGAGTCAGCTAACTTTTTGGACCTTCAATTAAACTTTAAGAATAATTTTCTAATAAGTAATATTTTTGATAAAAGAGTCTCTTTTGATTTTAACATTATAAAAATGCCATTCTGGTGTAGTAACCTGCACCTATCACTAAATAGAAATATCATCTTATATTTTATAAAAAGAAACCATGATTCAGATACCGATAAGGCATTTAAACAATGTAATTGTAAAAAATTCTACAATAATTGCTTGGAATACAACTATCCAAGAAATCCATTTTTAAATATATTTCTATGTTATATTAACTCTTTTTCAATTTAGATTATTAATTATTAATTTCTTTAAAACATCGTCTGTGTGTGCTTAGTTTAATTTCAAAATAACTATCCAGGTGGTGCCCCTGTTTTTTGCTTCTATGAGTGGTCACTTCTATTTTAACACGTCATTTAGCTCGCGACTTTAGCATAAGGCGTTTCATCTTGAATTTCTTTGTGTTTGCCTTTTACCAGGTAATTTTTTTTTTTTTTTTTTTTGTAATTTTTTCTAAAAAATTTTTCTTAATATTAATCTCTAAAAGAGAAACCTTATTGTTCTCTCTTCACAATTTCATTTTATTTTACTGTCTGGTTTATCAACCACGTTTGTTAAAAATAGGGTTAACTTTTCAACATGGCTCGATATTTTTCTATTATGTCGAAAATTTCTGCTCCACGGAGAAGATGGTACAATGAAGCAGCTTAACCCTAAATTGCTACCCTCATTCAGTGACAGATTTAGAAATTATAATAGGTCTCCATTTTAGTCCAAAGACTCTTTTTTTGTATCTTTAATTGTTATGTCTCTTGAACTTCAATTTCTTTCTTCTTTGGCCTTGTAGGTTAAACAACTTTTTCGCTTGGCGTTTTATTTTATTTTATTACACTATATATATATATATATTTAAAGAGTGTTTTTTTTCAGGTATAGAAGTTTAAGTTAGCATTACTTTTCAAGATGGCGACCGATTCAACAGCTGTCAAGTGATTTATTCTCAGTTTGGTTTGGCAATTCATCAAAACGATCATCAAGCAAGGCGTAGATTCGTCGAATGTGCCCAAAATGAGATTGCCGTTGTTCCCGATTTTCATAAGTGAATTTTGTTTAGCGATGAAGCGCACATCTGGTTGAATGGCTACGTCAACAAACAAAACTGCCGCATTTGGAGTGAAGCTAATCCACAAGTGTATGTCGAAACACCGTTACATCCAGAAAAACTGACTGTTTGGTGCGCTTTACGGGCTGGTGGAATCATTGGTCCGTACTTCTTCAAAAACGATGAAGGCCACAACGTTACAGTTAATGGTGATCGGTATAGAGCCATGATTACTAACTTTTTCACTCCTGAATTGAACAATCATGATGTCCAGGAGCTGTGGTTCCAACAAGACGGCGCAACATGTCACACAGCTCGTTCCACAATCGATTTATTGAAAGACACGTTTGCTGACCGCCTAATTTCACGTTTTGGACCTGTGAATTGGCCTCCAAGATTTGTGATTTAACACCGCTAGACTATTTTCTGTGGAACTATGTAAAGTCATTGGTCTATGCGAATAAGCCACAAACGCTTGACCATTTGGAAGACAATATTCGCCGTGTTATTGCCGATATACGGCCACAAATGTTGGAAAAAGTCATCGAAAATTGGACGTCCAGATTGGACTACATCCAAGACAGCCGTGGCAGTCCTATGCCAGAAATCATACTTAAAATGTAATGCCACAAGATTATCTTTCGAATAAAAAAAAATTCATGTCAATCGAACAATACATCGTTGTTTTATTGCAATTTAAATTTCTATACCTCTAAAAAATCACCCTTTATATATATATAAATCTGCTTCAAATTTTCAATTGTTTGTAAAATACTTTCTATTCATCCATTCAAGTTCAAATACATTTTTTTAAACGTGTAGTGGATGACACTTGATGTTAATACAGTTTTAAAATAAAAAATATCAATTTATTATGAATTAAAAAATGAATAAATAATAACTAACAAAAATAAATTTCCAACAGCATATATATAAAGGAATATTGTTCAGTGTGTCAATGTAGCACAATGGATAGTGCGTTAGACTTCTAATCAAAAATAATAATTCAACAAAAAGAATAGTCCAACACCATAAATAAAAAGGAAAATCGCCCGCTGTGCCCGATGTAGCACAATGAATAATGCGTTGGACTTCTAATCTAGAGGTCGTAAGTTTGAATCCTACCTGGGATGGCCTTATTTCTGAGAATGTGATTTATGAACAAATAAGTAACAAACAAAAATAATAGTTCAATTCCATAGATAGAAGGGAAACTCGCTTTTTGTTTTGACACTTAGTATTTGGATTCAGTGATACGTATATACATATTTATATTAATTGTAATTATTTAATAAAAAGTAGCTAAAATAACATTTTCTTTATTGTCCTAAGTTGGAATTGACTGATTTTTTTATATTACTTGTTTTGTAAAATAAATCAGGGTTGTTTTTGTGAAATAATTCATGTTTCAAAAAATCCTAACATAAATAAGTAATGAAAAATCATTAAAAACAGTTTGATGGAATAATATATCCATCATCATGCAAATTTACATGTTAAGTTCAGTACAAAATAAATTTTTAAAAAATAATATCGCTCTGCATCATTTTTATTCCTCGTGTTAGTTAAAAAACAATAATTATTATTAATATTATTCTAATTTCATCTGCATCTCGGTGCTCATCGTCAGAATTTTTGTCATGAAGGCCATCTTCTAACTGATCCAAGTAATTTTCAATGTGTCTTTCTTCTAAATTTCTTAACAAAAATAACATAAAATAAGCATATAGTTAAAAAAAACACTTTTGTCATTCATTAGAAGTGAAACAACAACATGATGATGTAAATTTCTGTCACATGGTTTGGGGAATATTATTTGGAGTATTTGATATAAATTGCACAGAAAATAACTGAAACGCAAAACACAAACGTTTTTCCTACTCATTATCGCTTTTATTATGGAAAAAAATCTCATATTACTTATAAAAATGTTCAAGTAATCGCAACAAACAGTGGAATGACAAGTTCAAACCAGCTATAATGATTGTAAAATTAGATGGGTTTTGGGGGGCTTTTTTATAGCTACGTTCGTTATAACGCAATAGTTACGAAAAAAGTTGTCAGCAACAACCAACTTACAGTATATCTGTTTTGAGTACAGTTTTTTGTTCATTAAATATGATAGAAATTTCCATGATCATGCAAAGAAGGGTTATAAAAAATATTACTAAATCAGCTCAAACTATTTGTTCAAGGACAAATAAGTCAAGATACAAGTTAAATCTTCAAGACATTTTTTGTCTACTAATTACTTTTGAAACTTTCCATGTTGAACAAAATATCAGTCTTTTTAAAAAACAAAAAGTAAATAAATGTGGTATTAATTAGCAATCCAACGGAGACAGCTGCATTGAAATTGAATCAGAAAAATTAATGTAGATTTTTTTTTCCATAGAGAGAGAGAGAGAAACTTTCTAGATACACATAATGTGAAATAAGAAATTGAAAGAAAAAAATAAATGTTTTGCATTAACCACCAAGTGAGTTATTATTTAATGAAAATAAGGCTGACATAATCACTTCTTATCTTTATTGCCTGAATCAACTATTTTAACTCTTTGAACGTAAGCAAATCAACTCATTATATCCATTCATTATTTTCCCAGACACTATGGTATAAGAGAGTTATCAGTTTTGGTAATGAACAATGCAATGTGTGAAACTATTTAGTTTTAACCTAGCCTTACTTCATTATTTCTTTCGTTTAAAACAACTCAACGATAGTTAATGATAAAAATGGGAATTTAAGGAAATACTGATGAACAAATAACGAGAACAAAAAGATTGCTATTTTTAGCATCTCGAAAAAGAGCGTACCTAATCAATATAACGCATTTATTCTGTTAAACTATTTGATATCAGAAATAGACTAGACTAAGCAAAAAGAGAGGTAAAAGTGTTAAGAAATTTTCATTATATTACATAGCATTGACTGAATACATATATTATATTGGCTATAAATATTTTAATGTACATTAATGAGGATGAACATCCTGATGTTAACTGAAGAGGTACCAATAATCGATGCATAATTTAGCTTACTAAAATATTCCTAATAATTGCATTGGATTGTTTATTTGACTTATTATCAATAACTCCAAACAGTCACTACAATTACTATTAAAAATTGGAACCTACAAGAAGTGACATTAGCATATTGATGTATAAATTTATTTTTAAAAAATTGGTGGAATATAAAAAGAAGCATCAAATAAAATCATTTTGCGTCCTTTAATTACTATGCTAAGCGATACTAAAGCTTTTCTGTAACACTAAGTCTTACTATGAAAATAAAATTTAGCATGTCAGTGTAAAATAGGTTTTTTGGTATATATATGTTTCGAGAAAAGAGTAATATTTATGTAAAATAACGTAGTTGATTTATGGGAACAATTATTTATTTGAATTCCATCGTATATTATAGCTGAGATATACGATATACTATGTTTGGTTTAGTTCTTATACCTGATGAATTGTCAATAGTTCATAGCTCATGAGAAAATTTTTGAAGAATAAATCTTAAGACTCTTTAAATGAAAAATAAAAGCGTAATGTCCATCGGTATTACTTTCTAAACGCTTCTCAATGCTGTGCTTTGCGTTAACGGCCAACACAATTATCTCGTTTCTCAGTACAATCAAACCCAGTGCTATCCGCCCCGCACTAAATACAAAACCGAAGAAACTATCTCTTCTTGGTACAGCAGACCCAAGCCTTTGCGTCAGGCTAAAACAAAGGAACTCTCTTTCCTTAGCACAAAATTCAGTTCAGTGTATCCGCGCTCCAAAGCTAAGGGGCTCTCCTGACCGTCTTGTTCGAAGGTCAACCACCTCTTCACTCGAAAAAACAGTAGACCACCCCCAAAAATGCGGATAATTTCGCCAAACATTCCATAATCTACCACCAACAGTAGCCAGACACTACAAAAATGCTGTATCCATATACATTACAAGAAGAAAATTGCTCATTATCTATCAATCACAATGGTCGTGCTATAAATTGGTGTGTGCAACACGTGGCAAATTTGATAAAACTGTAATCTGACGTTAAATTATCAGCAAAGTGGTTGCTCTTTATATTTCCACTTTAAATGCTACTACATAATAGCTGCTGGAACTAGAGCTACTTCTATTTTAGATCATTAGTTCAATTTCACTTCTTAAATGATTATTAATTGAATTTGATTTTAATTTACATAAGATTGCGTTGGAGCTGTGTGTACAATATGTTTCTGGCAAATGATCTCTTAAATTTAACAAAGGCAACACTTGAGCTAAGAGCTGAAGTTCCAAACTTCTTCACAACTCCACCAAATGACATTATAGACTTTGCAATCATATAATGAATTTTATTTGAAAGAATAGAAAAAATTGGAAGGTGAGGTTCATCTTCCAAAGACACTTCTAATTAGTTTCCATTATTTCACACTAAGGTCTTTTGTGAAATTATGACTTTAGGTAATAATTCTCTCTTTATCAAAAATCTATATTGTGTCCTTAAAATGCTGCAGCCTTTCACAGTACAAAATAGGAAAAACTATCATATTATAAATGTACCCCTTAGTTCTTATTTGTTTTGTTTCCCATGCTACGTACTCACAAAGAGCTCTATTTAATCACGTTCTTCGAGAGATCAAATATTATTTTATTTAAAAAAATCCCAAACACAAATGCTGTTATCCTTTGGATTTACTTCTCTCTTTACAGGAAGGAATTTTGCATAATTTACACGTTATCTTCCTTTTACCTCACATCACGTAAAAGAAGCGAGCGCAATTTTGAAATAATTGAGACATTTCTTGGCAAAGAGACGACAGCTCTTCTTGCTGAAATGGCAAAAATTTTACTCTTTTTCAAATCTTGATTGAAAAGAGAATTTGTAGAGCGCAAGTCTTTTTCATTACTGTTCAGCTAGCGAGACGTCTCTAAAATGCATGAAAAAAAATTGGTTCAATTACTTTTCAACTCGGTCCTTTCTCTTATATAGAGATATAGATCAAATCCTGTCAGAAGCTTGAGTCTTTATCCTCTTTTCAGAAGTCTCGTCACGATTTGCGGATAAAGTCTTCCCTTTTTCCTTTCCATTCATTTTCGCTTCACTTTTCTCCATTTGGGTCAAAGAAAGTTAAATCTGAATCATTTTGGCTCTCAATTACTACAGACTTTTAGTCGGCACAGATTACTGAACCAGTTATGGTATTACTTTTTTGTTGAATGGCGTTCTATAAGGTAAAGCGATCTACTCACGTAAGTTTTGATGACATCCACCATGTAGTCTCAACTATGCACCCAATGAAGAAATAAAAAAGAAACCAAAACTTAACAATGTGTTCAGGAAAATGCTGCAATTTTGGTGGAGAAGTTTGTCATAGTCATGCTCATTGTTTATAAAAAAAGAGTTGGAAATAAGACTAAATTAATTCTAGAACAATCAGTCTTGAATTATTTTCAATTTCCGTTATTATATATATATATTAGCTGATTAAAAAAGTAAGCTGTGTCGTATTCAAATTTATTACTCTCTCTCTCTTATCTGATTCATAACTGAATTTAATTTTTTTTAAATCTTCTGGATAAAAAAAGAGTTTAATCTGTGATGAATCTATACGGAACTTTATCACTAATATTCTTGGCCATCTTTGGGGATTGTAAATTCGCGTATATTCCCAACCAGTTCTAAAAGGAGGAAACGGGATATGCAAATGAATCAAAGTATATAAGGAGAGTGTTGTAGATTAGAGGGAAGGCTATTGAGCCAAGAGATACATAGACGGAGCGCTAAGACGATTAAAGTGAATAAAAATTATTTGTTATTGTAAAAATGTCGTCAGGTAATTCTTTGCCTCAATTCAATCTTAGTGTCCAGGGTGGAACCCAGGGGGGTTCTCACAAATCCATTATTTGATGACTTTCATAGCATTTAAAATAAGTTATAGGATTTCTGCTATTTACATTAAAATACATAAAAGATGCTTTTGAAAGATTAATTTGTAATAAGCAGAATAGTGTGTCACTATGCGTGTACAATACACTAACGATATAGAAAACCTAAAACTTCATCAAATAACAACATACTTGAAGAATTTACTTTCCTCGTAAAGGTGCGTGATTTACGACCTCTAAATGCCCAAA